TACATACTTACATACATACTTACGTACATACATACATACTTACATACTTACGTACATACATACTTGCATACTTACGTACATACATACATACTTGCATACATACATACTTACAGTATGTACATAAGTAAGTATGTATGTATGTATGTATGTATTTAAGTGTATGTATGTAATTATGTATGTAAGTATGGATATAAGTAAATATGTACTGTATGTAAGTATGTCTGTAACTATGTATGTAAGTAAGTTCAGATTCAGATTCAGATATTATTTATTGTTATTTGCATGTATGTAAGTATGTAAGTATGTATGTATGTATTTAAGTATGTATGTATGTATGTGTGTAAGTGTGTAAGTACGTATGTTTGCAAGTAAATATGTATGTAAGAAAGTATGTTTGTATATAATTATATATGTATGTAATTATATAAGTGTGTATGTATGTATGTATGTATGTATGTATGTATGTATGTATGCATGTATGTAAGTATGTAACTAAGTATATCTGTCCGTCCGTCCGTCCGTCCATCTATCTATCTATCCATCTAAAGCTACTGTACTTTTCCCAGAGTGTGGGATTCAGTCAGGTGTATTTAAGTGTGAGCGTATGTGTAACCGTACAGTAACTCTCTCCTCCCAGCGAATGCGCTCCCCAGCGAGTCCCATCACCAGTTTATCTGCTCGGTCCAGTTTCATCTCCATCTCATCCGATTTCTTTTTTAAACTGTCCTTCATGGCCGCTTTCTCGGCATATTGCTTCTGCAGCTGATCCAGTTTTTCCCCCACCTGCTCTCAGCCACACACACACATACACAAACACTCCCAGTTACCATTGAATAAGTATCATCACATCTACTGTAGACTAATGCAATACGACTGAACAAAACATGCGTAAATTTAATGTAAAATCTATGAAGGTGTCACTAAAATCTATGCTCCACGTACCTCATGTAGTTTATTTTCTTCCTTAGCCAGCGCAGTCTGTTTATTTGTTAACTGGCTCAATGCAGCTGTTAGTTGCGCTCGCTTTGGCTCCACATCTCTGTAAATTCGGCCATATACCTAAAGAAAGAGGGCAGAAAACACACCCATGGATCACAATATTATTCTTAATATGCCTATACTGTATATCTGTTGGTGCCCAATCCTGGACCTTGAGAGCCACAGTCCTGCATGTTTTAGAAGTTGCTCTGCTTTGACAAACCTGATGTGAAAAACAAGTGGTTAACAGGCTTCTACAGATTTTGAAGACATGCTGAAGAGTTTATACTTGGGGGATCTTGTTTGTCATTGTTGAGCTGTTTAGGCAGATGCTTTCTGCGACTGTTACCCAGTAATACACTTAATGCGCCCATTGACAAAATTAAAAGTTAAACACGATGGTGGAAATGTAGACAAATTGGACACGTTGAAAGGTCATGCGACCATTTTGTGATGAATACAATGAGTTGGCAGTACGAGCACCACCTTCTCCCATGTCAGGACAAATTTCTGTATTTTTTTGTAAGATAAATTTAAAACATTTTAGGACCTTTTAAATACCATTATGATTTAAGTTTAAAATCTACATCAATTACAAATTACACTGCCTGCCCCCCCAAAAATGTCGCCACCTGGATTTAACTAAGTAAATAGTTACGAGCCTCCTATTGGATAATTACTGCATGGGCGATTATCTTTCAGCTGGCAACAAGTTATTTAACCCCAACTGGTGCAATGAGTTGCTTCTCATTTCTTAAACAACCATGTCTGTGGTCTGGTACATTTTCATCTTTAAATCACTTCTTGGTCTGCTGCCTTCATACATCTCCTCCTACATGTCTCTGCGTGAGTGCAGCTACGACGTGCGCTCTCAGGACATTATTACCTGCAGTGTTCCCTCAGTGTGGACTGAACTAGGCAAAAGGGTCTTCTCCTACTCCGCTCCTGTTTCCTGGAATAGCTTGCAAAAAGATTTGAAGCGCTCGACCTTGTCCTCTCTAAGTGGCTTTAAGAATCTGTTGGACTCCTGGCAAGGACCAACGAAGACATGTTCCTGATTTTAGTTCTCTACAATCGCCTTATAATCTATCTGTTTTTGTTAACGTTTTTGCCGTCTTATTTGTAAAAAAAAAAAAAAAACTATGTATGCCTTTTTATAACTGTCTATTGTTGTCACTGTTGTCCATCATTCTTTGTTGAAATCAGGTCGCTCTTGTAAATGAGTCCTCGAGGCTCAATGGGATTAACCTGCCTAAATAAAGGTTGATTGAATGTTGAATGACACATTGTGTGGTCGTGGAACAGATGTCAGTCTGTTTGAGAAGGGTCAAATCGTTGACATGCATCAAGCAGAGAAAACATCTAAGGAGATTTAAGAAACTACTAAAATTGGGTTAAGAACTGTTCCCTGTTCCAGAGGGATGGGCACGTCAGGGTAAGAAGAGAGGCAGGTGATGTGATGCACCCATCATGTCTAGTGTCTACTGTACAAGCCTGTGGGGGCAGTCTATGATCTGGGGTTGCTGCAGTTGGTCAGATCTAGGTTCAGCAGCAGTATGCACTCAAAGAATGAGGACAGCTGACTAACTGAATATACTGAATGAACAGTTATTCCATCTATGGATTTTTTTCTTCCCTGATGGCACGGGCATATTCCAAGATGACAATGCCAGGATTCATTGGGCTCAAATTGTGAAAGAGTGGTTCTGGGAGCACGAGACATCATTTTCACACATTGGCCACCACAAAGTCCAGACCTTAACCCCATTGAGAATCTTCGGGATGTGTTGGAGGAGGCTTTGCGCCGTGGTCAGAATCTGCCATCGTCAATGCAAGATCTTGGTGGAAAATTAATGCAACACTGGATGGAAATAGATCTGGTGACATTACAGAGGCTTACTGAAACAATGTCACAGCGAATGCATGATGTAATCAAAGCTAAAGGCGGTCCAACGAAATATTAGTGTGACCTTTTTTTTTTTGGTGGCAACTTTTTTTTGGCCAGAAGAAATATAAGAAGTCACTGTAGCGTTTGTTTCAAAGTAAAAGCCCTGTCACAATATAACATTTTAGAGAACTTGTACGATGGCAGAGTTGGTAGAGCTGTTGCCTCTCAGCAAGAAGGTCGCCAGTTCAAATCCCAACCTGGGACCTTTCTGGCTGGAGTTTGCATGTTCCCTCCGTGCTGTGTGGGTTTTCTCCGGGTACTCCATTTTTCTCCCACAGATCAAAAACATGCATGTTAGACTGATTGGTAACTCTAAATTTTCTCTAGGTGTGAGTGGGAGAGTGAATGGTTGTTTGTCTCTATGTGTCCCTGTGATGGACTGGAGACCTGTCCAGGGTGTTGTCCCCCGCCTCTCGCACAGTGACTGCTGGATTTGGACACCAGTGACCCCCGCAACCCGAAAAAGAAAGAAGTGGGTAAAATGGATGGATGGATGGACGTTGATGTATGTAAACTTTGTCCAATGTGCAGGCGTACGCTGAAGATGGAATAAAACGGAATAAAACAAAATTAAAAAAACAACTAGAAGCCTCTTTGAGACGTATAGATAAATGACTGGGGGTGCAGAACTGCCCTTTTCTGATGTCACGTTTATCATCGCAACATTCTCCAACATGCTATGCAGAAGTTCGGCATAACGTTGTTGTTATGCCGAATGTGTGTATTGTATTGTTGGGCGGCTGTGGCTGAGTGGTTAGAGCAGTCGTCCTCCAATACGAGAGTTGGGGGTTCGATTCCACCAGCAGTCACATGCCGAAGTGTCTCTACGCACGTCGCTGAACCCTTCATTGCTTCTGATGTGTGTCCCATCAGTGTATGAAAGTGATAAAGCTCTGATTAGTCTTTGTATAGGTCTAGCAGAGTGCTGTGTGAATGGGTAAATGAGGACACAGATTATAGTGTAAAGCACTTTGAGTGTCTTGATAAGATAGAAAGGTGCTATACAAGTACAGTCCATTTACCATTTACTATTGTTGTGCATAATCAAAGTGCTCACAGATTAGAAATAAGTTATGTGTAAAAAAACAGATTCCAATTGGTTTCCATGTATGCGAACTTATGAGTAACTTACATGTAACGTGTGAACGGACACATCAATTACCTGTCGCAACACGTGGGTGTATGCTGAAAACTGTGCATGAACAAAATTATTGTCTTGCCGTTATACATCAGTGTGCTGATAACTAATTTAAAACTTACACCTAACTTATGCGACTTATACCAGCGTGTTTGTCTTGTTTTTTCAACCGCTGGCATACGCTGATGCTACACGTCAAAAAGAAAAATCTGGACCTTTAAGGCTTTTTAAGGCCTAAGATTGGGAACATTAAATTAAAGCTCATTGTAAATGTGTTCTTTTCTGTACAGTTTGCTAGTTTTAAAACTTGCATGTATGAAACAAATACCTTCTTACCTCCATGGCTTTGACCCACATGCAGAGGGACTTGGCAGCAAGCGACACTTTGCCAATAATCTCTGGCTGAAAATCCGCTTGTCGGCAGAACTGGTTGATTTTCTTTAAAACACGGTCTGACATATTATCCTTGTCAAAATTGACCAAAGTTTTGATGAAGTTGGCCTCACCTGTCAGAAACAAGTCAAAGTCACAAGCGCCGAAGTCCATTTCGGTGCTTCTACAGTTCGTTTGATCAAAATAGTTTTAACAGAGTGCACTTTGTGTAGCTTTAATAAAAATGTTCGATTGCTTTATATCTTTTCTACAGTTTTATATTAACAATGTTCTTTTTTTAGTTCTTTGATCTAGGAATAACTGCAGAAATTGCATATCCAGTGAAAAAGCAGTTGCAGAAGAACTTGCTGAAAAAGAGATGAAATTAGCTAAAAAAAAAAAACGTGCTGAAATAGAACAAGCCTAAAATAACAGAAGAAAGCATAAAGAACACATATTTGCTGAATTATGTTTAAATAAGCAGGAATGAGCACAAAAATTTGATAATTAGCTAAAAAAAGCTGAAATTATAAAAAAAATAAATTGCTGAAAAGGCAGAAAGAAGCTGAAACTACCAGAAGGAAACAGATGGAGCTGAAATAAGCTAAAATATTGTGGAATTGGCTGAAAAGGCTACAAATAGCTTAAATAAATAAAAACAGCTAAATAGAAAAAGCTGAAACTAGCAGAAATAGGCTGAAAGGAGAATAAAAAGGTGAAATTAGCATAAAGAAGTTAATGAAGATGAAAGTAGCAAAAATTAACATGAAAAACTTGAATTTTTCTGAAATCAGCTGAAATTAGCTAAAACGTGCTAAAAATGCAGCTGGAAAGGTAGAACAAGCATAAATTAGCAGCAGAAAGAACACGTTTGCCCAATTAGGCTGAAAGAAACAGAAATGAGCACAAAAAAAGTGGAAATTATCTGAAAAAAGCAGAAAAGAGGAAAAAAAAGCTGAAAAGTAGCTTAAAAGGCAGAAAGAAGCTTAAATTACCGGAAGGAAGCGTAGAGAGCACAGTTTTGCTGAATAAGGCTGAAAAAGTTTAAATGAGTGCAACAAAAGTGAAATTAGCTGAAAAAGCTAAAATTAGCATAAAACAGCTAAATAGCAGTAAAAGCTTAAACTTGCATAAAAAAGCTGAAAGGAGCAAAAACAAGCTGAAATTTGCAGAAAGAACTTAGAAGAAGCACAGAATGTTGTAGTTAGCAGAAAGAAGCTGAAAGGATGTTAAAACAGCTGAAATTAGCTGAAAGTAGCTGAATTTTTTTAAAAATTTGCACAAAGAAGCTGAACGAGAACAAAATGTGAAAGGAGCAGTAAAAGGTTGTAAACAGATTTAAAGATTCGAAGGACGTAAAATGAGCTCAATTAATTTTCTAGAAGGAAAATAAAAATGGCAGAAAAGGCTAATAAGATCGTTAAAAAAAAAAATAAAGCTGCACCAATACCAAAAGTCATAGCAGGATCGTCCTGAAAGAGCTGAATGTTTTGATATTTGATTTGTTGAAATAGCTTCAAAACTGTGGGACGAGAAACACGTCGAAAAACGTACAGAAGAAAAATGGATCACAATAGAGTGAATGCTTCATAAACATTCACACAATAAGACTTTTGTGACATCGTCCTCTTGTTGTCCCAAGTATGAACAGTATCATTAAGTCCTGCACAGCTGCTGTCTCTCACCGAGCTGTCTCTTGGCTTCGGCCCAAGTAGGTTCTTTGCCAAGAAGAGTCATGACAGCATTCATCACCGTCTCCACCAGCACTGGAGGGCGACCATACGACTTGATCTCCGTCATGTCCTTCTTATTCAAGGACTCCAGAGCCTGACAGTCAGGAGTAAACAATGAATGGGTGTGAAATAATTTTAAAAAGTTAGAAACAGTCAATAAGACAAAGGTCTACCTTCATAGCCTCCTCCAGGGCAGGCAAAGCCTTGTCCAGATCTCTCTGTGCAGTCTCCGCCATGGCTTTGCACTGCAGCTCCTCTGCACTGATTTTCTCACGATTTCTACTGACGACCTGAACAAAAAGGCACATAATGTGCCACTTCATGTTTATGAGCATTCTCATGTTAGACAACTCCCACACTTACCTTCTGCTGCTCGCTAGCCTCGTTCTTTTGTTGCAGCATGACAGCCAAGTATTGATCGCACTGTTTCTGGAACTCGTCCACCTGCTTCTTGGCCTCCTCGAGCTCCACGGTCATGGCCTCCACTTTCTCGCGAGTGTCGCTGATTTTAAAGAGGCCGTTTCGCAGCTTGGTCACCTGCTCTCCCAACTCGTTGCGTTTCTCTGCCAGCAGTCTGAACAGACACAAACGTAAGAATGATTGGCAATCCAATCAAGGCAGAGACTCACGTTTAGTAAATGTAACAGACAGACACGAATCATTGAATCACAGAAGATGACTACAGAGCTCAGGCAGGGGTTAAATGCAAATGCTTTCAGACAAATGTGCACAAAAAATGGCGCTAAGCAGTCAGAAAATACCATATGTATGCGTTAGTATACTACTAAAACATTTATAAAGTCAAAATCTGATTTTTTTTGTCTTTTTTGGTCCTATGTTGTCCCCCATCACGTAGCAAAGAGGGGGAATTGGATCTGCTCCATCCATCTGTGCATGTAGAGGCAGGGCAGCCGAATCTGGACCCGAAAGTCCCAGGTTCGGTCCCCAGTCATTGCACAGCTCGTGGTGTTTCTAAGCAGCACACCTTATCCCCAAATGCTCCCTGGGCGCTTTCAATAGCTGCCCACTGCACCACCTGGTGGTGAATGGGTTAAATGAAGATCCAATGGGGAACATAACTTGAAAAATAAGTGAGGTACCAACTTACACCTATCTAGACGTAAGAACAGGTTCTTTGAAAATTGGGTTGCCAGGTCAAAATCCAAGTTGGCTGCCACAAATATGCAAACCTTGCAAGCTGGATAGCATAAAAAATAAGCAACACAACAACTTTTTGATGTTGTGTTGTGAGGTTTGGTGATAGCGAAGGTCACTTTAGTAGTTGCCATGTCAAAATCCAAGATGGCCACCATCATGTGTACAGTATATATATGTAAACTGACCCCCCCACTACCATTTGAGAAAACCATGCTTTCTAGTTTTTATAAAGATTAAAAGTATAGTTTTCTTAAATGATCGGGGTGGCCTAAGAATAATCTATGATGGTCAAGGCCACCACTGGCCACCCCCTGGCTCCTTCATTGCGCCTGGTGGCGTATAAAATTTTCATCACGCTGTGTTGCTTTGGACAAGAAAAAAAAAACTATCTCTGTTCTTATACAAAGTGTTACTCCTCTCCACTTGAATATGTTGCACCAAAAACATTAAGGTTCACGTGCATTCCCTGTTAAATTCCAGTCCAGAAAAACACTCATCTCAGAAACTACAAACATTCACTATTGAAATCCCTCAGTGAACACTGAATATAATTTTGAACCACAGGTCCACACTCAATGGAAGAAAGGCTGACTGTGTCAAAAAAAACATTTAGAAGCTTGAGTCACAACATTAACCCAGTAGACTGCGCAGGTAAATGAACATGATAGAATCTGACAAGTGTCGGTTCTCAGAGAAAATGTTTAGGTGGAAACAAGAGAGGATCTGCTGCAAAATGCAAAACCAAAATCAAATGAATAAGACAAATATCAAGAAAAAATGTGGAGATCAAGCAGGGCAGTGGACTGTCACACACACAGAACTCAGCGTTCAAGCACGTGTGGCTTTTACAAAACTCCTAGACATTTAAACCTCCCTTCACAAAGTGTTTTACAATGTGAACTACCACCACACGTATGTTAACATTTTATTTATTTTATATTAAAAGTGCTCTGCTTGTCTGAGAAAGCAATTTGTAAAAATTTAAATTTTTAAGTTTAAGAAAATGGGATGGGGAGTGAAGTCCATGTCAAACAGATAACTCGGGCTGCGTTCTTCCATCTCACAAACAGCTCGACTCCGCCCATCACTCACTTTCTCCACTGCTGAACTCCTAATCCACGCCTTTGTCACATCCAGAATCGACTACTGCAAGAGCCTTTTGTACAGTACACCATCCACAACTCTCAATAAACTACAGTATATTCAAAACTCTGCTGCCCGCCTTCTCACCCACACCCGCTCCCGTGAACGTATCACTGCTGTCCTGCAGAAACTCCACTGGCTCCCCGTCACTCAGCGCATCCATTTCAAGATCCTCCTCATCACATTCAAAGCCCTCCATACCTGACGGGCCTTCCGCTCCTCCGATGCCAACCTTCTGTCTCTCCCCTGTAGGACCAAGCTCCGAACCTGGGGAGACGGAGCCTTCTCCATCGCTGCCCCCACCCGCTGGAACTCACTGCCCCAACAGCTTCGAGCCTGCTCCGATCTCTCCACTTTTAAGAAAGAACTCAAAACCCACCTGTTTAAAATCGCTTTTAATGTTTGAATTTGCCCTTTTTTTAAATGTTTTACTGTGTTTTTATGTGTTATGCATTGTTGATTTTATTTATTTTTTTACTCATGTAAAGCGTCTTTGGGTGTTTAGAAAAGCGCTATACAAATAAAATGTATTATTATTAATAAGTTGAATTGTTGAGAACAAAATGTTGTGCAAGTGGCATTAGGCATCTAATTAGATCTAATATTTTTATTTGTCTTTCAGCTGCTCCCTTCTTCAGGGTCTCCACTGAGAACTAACTCGCATGAAGACTTGGCGACTGTTTTTACGCCGGATGTCCTTCCTGACGCAACCACAGACCACCGAGCTGCCACAGCCCTCTGTGTGGAGCAGAGAGCCGACATCTAGGGGACCTAGGAGAGCAATTCTGGGGGTTAAGGACCTTGCTCAAGGGCTCAGAGCTGGGTAAATGAAGATGGAGGCAGGTGTGGGCATTTCACCTTTACCACCCACATTTTTTTAATGTTGTCAGTCCGAGGAGTTGAACCGGCGACCTTCTGATTACAGGCCCACCTTCTCTAACCTCTGCGCCACCACCCCCCCAGTCTAAAATGTCAGTATCAAATCATATCTGAGGCTGTTTAGACAAGCCTAAAGTCTGCACCATAGACTTTATATGTCCTGCCTTCTCTCGATGTTGGGAGCTGAAGCCAGCCGTCTGTTCAGAGGACGTTCACAAAACGTTGGAAGGTGGTGGAGAGTGAAGAACCGTAAAACAAAAATACCACAAGTGAAAACAGAAAGTGAGAGGGAACCTACTTCTTGTATCCAGACACCAGTTCCAAGTAGTTGGTGGGCGTTACATAATTATATCTCTTCAGCTGCGACTTCATGCTCTCAGAGACCTGGGCCACTGACTGGTGCGTGGTCACAAAGATGCTCGCCACTTTTCTATGGATCTGCAACATTACGCAGCGCATGTGGAAAAGGTGATGATCCATGAGCTTCAGCAGATTAAAATCAAATGATCACGTGTGTAGAAATTTCAAAAAAGCATCTGTGTATGTATGTATGTGTGTGTGTGTGTGTGTGTGCATCCCCTCACCCCCTTTAATGAGCCCAGGTCCAGTCCGTCTAAATACCTCTCAGCCACCTCCAGCAGGGCGTCTTTGGGCCATTCGCAAAACCAGTCGATGGTGGTGCAGTTGACGATTGCCGGGTACTGAAGGATGCGGTTCCTTTTGATGTTTTTTCAAGATGTGATGTGTGTAAAGGAGAAAAAATGCATTTAAATGATGGTCGAGAAGGAAAAATCAGTCTTGTTTGCTTGCAAATACTGTCCCTCAGTAATAAAAAAACAACATGGGTGAACTTTATTTAGTGCCCTTGTGCATCTTGTAAAATAAATCCCCCAACATGTAGAAAAATGAACATGCATTTTTTTGTTCTGTTGTCGTTGTTACGTTTTGTCACTAGATGGGACTGCTGTGACGGCGAGGGGACGAACAGTGTGTGTGAGGTAGAACGCAGAAGAGGAATAAGTCTGGAAGGCGTTCTGTAATGGCGTCTGGCATCATGGCATACTGGCTGTAATAAAGTTCAGGAGTTTAACCTTTGTCTCTTATGTTCATTACAGCCACCACAGCAATGTGTTTGTACAACTAATTAGGATTTTGCAGCTTAATAGATCAATTAAACAAGGTGTTTCGTATGAGTTCAGTACAAAAGAGTGATTCACACAGCAGGTCCTAATGTATTGCCACTCGTTCACAGGATCTACCTGAAGGGTTCTCCCACGGGGCTCATGCAGAGCACAATGTGCAGGTTGTTCCGGACTCGCTCGATCAGGTAGCTGAACAGCGAGTCGGGAGTCTCCAGTACGTTGTCTTTCCGGGCAAACTCAGACAGAGTGTTGCACACCTACACACACACACGCACGCACACACACACACACAGATCAGTTAAAGTGCTCTCAGTTAAACAAAACCAACAACAACAACAAAAAAAGAACCCAGACGTAGGCCTGTCACAATAACAAATTTTGCTGGGCGATTAATTGTCTCAGAAATTATTGCGATAAACGATAATATTGTTTGAAATTTAACAATAATTAATTGTCAAATTTTAGAAGAAATGTTGATTTGTTTGGAGTGTAGTATCTTTTTTTTTGACCACCTGGTGGCAGTATAAGACTGTTTGAACCGAAGGATGGATAGTTGAGCAGCGTGTCTCTTTAAGAAAAATGGGAGGGAGTGCCCTTGATGTGACATGGCGGACGCTCGGTGATTTGAGCTCTTTAGCATAGCATTTGTCACACAAAGCTTTTAATTAAAAAAAAAAAAACAGTAAACAAGTTCCCAGCTTCTTTTTGCAGAGAAAAACAACTTTTTACATGAAGGCACGAGTTTCAACCGTGAATTTTGGAGCTTCGACAAGACGGAGGTTTTTCCCCCCGAGGTCGTCCTGTTAGCTTAGCTCGTAGCTTAGCTTCTCAGCTTAGCTACTTTTAACGTTCCGAAAACGTAATTCTAGACGGTTAAAATAGATTATAAAGAGAAAAAAGAAAGGGAGGGGTCATTGAAGAGCACCGGAGTTGACCCATGTCTTCAGTAGAAAGACAGAAACACGAAGAAACGATAAAGCTGGCAAATTAAAATAAGGTCAATAATTTTCATTCATCATGTGATTAATTGATTTGTTTATCGCAACGCTTTCAGGTAGGAAATGAGAATTCTGACCTCAGCGAACTCATCCTGCTTGTAAAGGTTGGGCACTTCTCCAGAGCTCAGGATGTTGTTGATGTCTTCCAGGAAGGATTCGTCTACGATCTGGGTGTCATTGAACAAGAAAACTGTGGGCTTGTTGTCTACGCCGGTTAAACGATAAAGCTTCTTGATGTCTGAAAAGAAAAAAGACAAGCTCTGAAAGATGGGACTTCCGTTGTTTTATTCTCCACTCGACAGGATTATTTCCAAATCGAGTCCCGTCTGTGAGTGCACTTGTGTGGTTGAGCTCACCTTCTCTGAACTCCTGTTTGCGGTACTGTTTGGACACTTCCACCTGGAACACCTGATATTCACAGACGAAGGCAGCCATCTTAGACAGACTCTGTCTCCCGGAGCCTCCGATACCGATGAGAAGCATGTTGCCTCGGAGCTGACTGATCACACGTACAACACGTGTTACTGCAGAGAACACAAAAATACAACCAATGTCTCCAATTTGCCTGGTCCATCTGGGTAAAGTTTGTAAAACACAGTTAAAACTATGAGCATGCATCAGGACAGTTAAAACTACTTTTATCTCTCTAAAGTTCAAATACAAAACATTATTGTTTTGATAATGATAGTTTCGTTAAGCTTTAGTGGACAATTAAATGAATGAAGTCATGCATATATAAAAAAAATACTAACATAAAAGTAGCGTTAGAAGAAATTATAGTACAAGTCGAAGTTTTAAACAAAGGTCTTGCGCAATCAGCTCTCAAAGTACCGTATTTTTCGGTCTATAAGTCGCAGTTCTTTGCATAATTTACATGGACTGTGACTTATACACCGAAGTGACTTATTTATGGATTTTCCCCCATATTTATAAACCAATTTGTGGCTGAGATATGACCGTTTTCATTCATTCTGACTGAAAATATCGAACACTACCATTTCCAGCCACGAGATGGCACTCGAGTACTAAGACATGCTGTTGTGTCATATAATAAGTAAAAGTGGTTATTAATTACACAATCTGCTGGCCATAGACTGCCCCCCTTCATCCAGCTCACCTGGAGCAACCGTCAAATCAGCTTCATTTCACTGCACCGCCCCGACGAAATGAAGCTGATTTGACCATTAAAGTGCATTTATTAAGTAAAAGCTCAACTGAGACACATCTTTTCTATAATGTCGAGCAAACTAATAATTGTTTTTAGGTGGTTATCTTGTTAAATTTCGAAGAAATGAACAGCAAGTCATCCCTCTGCGCGCTCCTACTTCCGCGTATTGGCTTTTGAAAATGCAGCTGATTTGACATTTATTAAGGAAAAGTTACACTGAGACACACCTTTGCTATAATTTCGAGCAAAGAAATAATTGTTTTTAAGTGTTAATCTTGTTAAATTCTTGTTAAAGTCCTCCTGTGCACGCTCCTGCGACCACCATTTGGCAGCCAATCGATTTTTGGCACAACACCGGCCCACATTTCCAGGTGGTCAGCGGTGACGCATAATAGATGCGACGTATGCGGTGAAGCGACATATTTATGGATTTTTCCACTTTATTAGACATATTTGGACTGATGCAACTTATAAGGCGGTGCGATGTGTATGGCGGAAAATACGATATGTATTGGAGTTGTCTCTCAGCTACAATCACATCAAATTTCAGCTCAATATCTGTAAAAATGATGTTTGAGCTATTTTTGTGATTCCTCAGGTCGACTAGCTGTAGCTGCCACCTTCAATCAGGTTGACTAAAATATGTAAATGTACATCTAGTGACTATGTTTCGAGGATTTCATTAAAACGTGTCCACTGATTTATAAGATGTCATAGCCTGCCGTCATGAAAGGCGGACGGTAATGAACCGTCATTTAGTGTGGGTTAACCACGGTATTGGGGAGAGCAGGAAAATATAAGTTGTATTCTCGTATGTACTGTGTTCGATGGCGTCTTGAAAGAGCACGAGGCTCATGGGCACCACTCCAGGTGTCAGGTTATAATCTTCCAGCTGTGTTTCCATGAACTTCTTCAGCACTTTCACGTCCAGTATGTCCTCATAGCCTGAAGAGTTGTTTAAGAAGTCACCTGATCCACAAACACAAAGACAGACACTTATATTGGTACCGTCTAGATCGGCAATGGCTGCGCAAACAATTTAAGCTATGGAGAAATACAGACACTTCTATGTTAGCATGAATGTGTCAATACGATATTGTAGATACCAAATATTGGTGGTTGTTTGTTCGGACAAAGACTGTGGAAAGTAAGGTTGAACAGGGAGGTCAGTCTTTCTTCCAGAAGAGCAACAAAGGTGTTCATGTCACTTTCGTTTACAAGCCGATCTGAGAAAACTCTAAAAACAACACAACACGATGTATGAGGACAAAAAAAACTAAAATATGGGTATATCTAAAGCATTAGCTAGGATACTATGAATCTTATTGACATTAATCATAAAGAGCACGCAAAAAATACCTAAAACACTCATGGATCCACAGTCTTATGATGCCGTTTTGGGTTTCTTGAAAGTCTGGGTGAGCCCTTAGCAATCCCTGGAAAACCTAAAAAATATGATTCAAGAAACAGAATAAAACAATATTAAGAAAACAATTGTCCTATGTTTTGATCCGGGTCGGGGAGGGGGTCCTGCTCCAAGTGGAGGAGTTCAAGTATCTTGGGGTCTTGTTCACGAATGAGGGAAAAATGGAGCGAGAGATCGATAGGCGGATAGGTGCAGCATCTGAGTGAAGCGGGCGCTGTACCGGTCTGTCGTGGGGAAGAGAGAGCTGAGTCAAAAGGCGAAGCTCTCAATTTACCGATCGATCTACGTTCCTACCCTCATCTATGGTCATGAGCTTTGGGTTGTGACAAAAAGAACGAGATCTCGGATACAAACGGCCGAAATGAGTTTTCTCCGCAGGGTGTCTGGGCTCTCCCTTAGAGATAGGGTGAGAAGCTCGGTCATCCGGGAGGGACTCACGAGTAGAGCCGCTGCTTCTCCAAGTCGAGAGGAGCCAGTTGAGGTGGCTCAGGCATCTGCTTAGGATGCCTCCTGGACGCCTCCCTGGTGAGGTGTTCCGGACACGTCCCAGAGGAAGACCCAGGACACGCTGGAGGGACTATGTTTCTCGGCTGGCCTGGGAACGCCTCAGGATTCCCCCGGAGGAGCTGGCCCAAGTGGCTGGGGAGAGGGAAGTCTGGACCTCTCTACTTAAGCTGCTACCCCCACGACCCGACCCCGGATAAGCGGAAGAAAATGAATGGATGGATATTTTGATATTTGAAAATGCTAAATATTTTCTTCTTCTTTCCGCTATTCCCTTTTCAAGAGTCACCACAGCAAGTCATCCTTTTCCATCTCACTCTATCTTCTGTGTCCTCTGTCCTCACTCCAAATATCTCCATGTCCTCTCTAACTGCATCGTTGAAAGTACTAAAGTATAACACCATGGTCTGTGGAAATCCCTTTGGAGTGCCTATAAACTATAATGTTTGCAGACGATACTGTGATGTGTAGTGAGAGTAGGAAGCAGGTGGAAGAGAGACTGAAGAGGTGCAGGTATGCTCTGGAGCAAAGAGGAATGAAAGTCAGTAGAAGTACACAGAAAACGTGTGCGGATGAGAGTGAAATAAGTGGAACAGTGAAGCAGTGAAGAGTAAAAGTACTAAATGAGGATGTTTCAGTACCTGGGATCAACCATCCAAGATTTTCATTGGTAGTGACCAAATTGGACAGGGTTAGAAAGGAGTATATCAGAGGGACAGCTCAGACTGAGCAGTTTGGAAACACAGCGGCGAGGCTGAGATGGTTTGGACATGCGAGGATGGAAAGTGGGTAAATTAGACGAGTTATGTTAAATAGTGGATACAGACAAAGGTTTTTAAATATGGAGCTGCCAAAGGAGGGAAAGATCAAGACCACAGAAAAGTTTATGATGTAGTGAAGGAGGTCATGCAGAGATTTGGTATATGAAAGTATGATGCTAGAGATGGGAGTGATGGAGACAGATAATCAGCTAGTGATCCATAAAGGGAGCAGCCGAAAGAAGAAGACAAAAAATATTTAAAATTATATAAACATTTAGTTTAGTTTCTCCTTTACAAATCAAAAATATATAAGCTACTATTCTGACGTTTAGTAAGTTGGTTTTGCACTGAATTTATTTTCCTGCAGGTCCTTTCTGTACCTTGGAGATATCTCTGAGGTTGAAGAGGTAGTGTATCTTGGCTGGCGTGGGGAGAAAGGATGTCGTGACAGCGTTATACAGATCTAAAGTGGCCTGAGTCACAATCTCTCCAGCAGGCTTCACTTCCTCCTTAAAGCCCTGCAGCCTTTGGGTGATCATGGTGCTGTAGATGCTCTTGATTTGCGACTCCTGCATGTGAAAATGAAAAGTGTGATAATGAGTTTGGAACGTCTCGTGAACCCTACATGCAGCAATATCAAAACAATAAAAGAATAACGCAGATATTTCAGATTTTTTTTTTTTTTTACCTTGAGAGGCCAGGTAAATAAAATGTAGAAAACAAAAAATAACAATGACTAAGAAGCTAGGGAAGTTCAAAGAAGACAAATAGCTTAAACTAGGCTGTTGTTCAAACTATAAAAATAATCAGACCATTTCCTTTGTGCCGAAATAATACGATTAACAAAAAAAATGTTTAACAGTTCGTGTTGTGTTCTGCACAGAGGTAGTTGGATTACATGAGAAGCAATAAAGTCCAGACACTTACAAAAACTAAAACATTGTTTCAAGGAGAAGGAATAAAAGTAAATAAAGAGGTAGGACTTACATTAGGAAAGGTCATGTTGATGAGGTTAAATCCACTTTGAAAGCGAGCTGAGATCTGAGTCCTCCCTCCACCAGGGGGCCCCATAGATGCCAGCAGGAACATGTCCTGATTATAAAAAAAATACAGAAATCAGAGGCGGACATCTTGGTCGGGAACACACCGATCTAACTAGAGAAAAAGCTAAAATATGCTAAATTCTAGCTAAAGTAGCAAAATTATCTCTAAAAGCTAAGTTTAGCAAAAGAATAGCTTGATGGTAAAAGTAACAGCAATATTGGCTAAAAGCTAAAGAAGTAAAAGGATAGCTAAAATGCTAAGAGTAGCAAAGGAAGACAAATATAGAGCACTATGACGCAGAGTTGAACCAAAATCAGGCGTTTGAAGGAAATAAAGAGATTTTAATGTTTTTCCTATGGAAAAAATATTTTTAAGTCAATATTTTGAAAAGTATAAAAGTTACAAAAAACACAATAAAATGATTTAATTAGTTTAACCTATTAAAACATATTTTGTGAAGAGGGAAAACTATGAGAGAATTAGGGATGCACAATATTATCGGAATGGTATTGGTATCGGTCGATATTAGCGATAAAGTTAAATATCGGACATCGGCCATTCCATCAAACTAACTCATCAATATGAAAGGTTTCTATTTTAAGTTAAGTTTTAATTTAAGAAACTGTCAAGTGTATCTATTAATGCACTAGTACTTATGCGCTTTTCACTAGTAGCTTGTGAACAGGTTAGATTTGTGAAATTTACAAATTTGCATTGTTCGAGTGTTGCCATTGTGTTAGAGAGAGTAAATTTCATGAATAAATTTGACATTTAACATAATCCAAGTTGAACTGTTACTTCATTTTCATCCCTCTTTATGGCATCTGCATTTGGTAACAGGCCAAATTGACAAAGACCATGCAGAATAATGTAGTATTTTAATTCCACAGCAGAGAAAGACATGTAGTCTCTGTAAGTAAGTGTAGGGGAAAAATATCGGTATTGGTATCGACTATCGGCTAAATAAGTTTTAACTTATCGGCATATCGGATATCGACCAACAATCCAATATCGTGCATCTCTAGAGAGAATGAAAATGACAAATATATCTTAATCTCACAGACCTCGTTCTTACTTTCATCAAACAGTCATTTCTCACCTTGACTAACTTTAGGGTCCGTTTCTGGTGGTCGTACCAGAAGCCGTAGTCGATCCAGAAGCGAAGCAGCTCCAGTGGCGGCTGGGACCCGAACAAGTCGAGGGCTGGCATGTTGAGGTCGTCCAGGAAACACACCATCTTCTTCCCACCGGCTGGTACGAACACGCCTTTGGTTCTCTTTTCTGTCCGGCTCTCTATGATGGCCTGGATGTTATTGGAGGTGGTCTGGACGTTGGAGGAGACGGGTCATATGACACGACGAACTGAAAACTTTGATGCTTTTATAATATCTATATTGCACACCTTGAAATCACAATAATATATTTTTGACAAATTTTGCTGCCCTTTTTAGAAGTAAAACCTCTTTTTAAAAAATCTATAAAATTGTGGTAATTCTTGTGCTTTAGGCAGTAAAGGTGAACCTAACAGAATTGCTGCTATGATAGAACAACTCTTAAAATGTTAAGATTTCTTTACAGCAGGATTTGTTCTATTTAGTCTAAAATAAAACAGAGATGTGACAGTAAAGTGGCTCCTGTACAGACTAGTGAAGGTCTGGTGGGAACACTGATGGACATGAAACAAGAGGTAATAGTGGTGATAGCTGTAAAAGTGTGAGGTGGTTTTAAGTACCTCCATCATCTCGGGCTCTTTTCCAGCCCTTCATTGGAGCTGTCTCGCAATATTGTGCCAAACAGTGGGAACTCTAGTGTAACGTGTGAATTGTGCTGACGCTGGATGGATGGAGGCAGATGCACTCGTACACACAAAAACATGCACGAGTATGCTTAATGCCGCCATCAGTCACCTGTAAGTGAGTGCATGTGAAGCATCTCATGCCGCGATTGAGTGTGGCTCAGCATCATCGTATCCAGAGGTGATGTGTGGGTTACTGGAGCCTGTGCAGATGTTAGTGCAGCTACAAATCCTACTTTGCAGCAGCTCAGCGACATGTGTCTAACGGAGATGCAAGCCGTTTACTGAATTAGACCAAATTAAGCCAGCAACCCTTCAAGAACATTTGACGACTACAGTTTTTACAAAAAGACTAATAAAAGCTTTTTTCTAATCACAGATCAGTGAACAGGTTTATATGCACAGAGTTTAAAAATAAGCTGAAAGTTTCACTTTTGCTTTGCTTAATTTAAGTTAAATTACCTCGTTTCAGCGTGAATAAGACGTCAAAGTAGTTGTGAAATAACATGACTCAGAAAGTCACGTTTCGACTCCGAGCCATTCCACATGTCGTGGTGTCTCTGAGCAAGACAGCTAACTGCTCCCCAGGCACTTACGTAGCTGCCCACTGCTCCACCTGGGTGTATCTGACGTGTGATGGGTTAAATGCAGAGAACTAATTTCGCCATTGTCTTCTTCGTCTTTGTCTTCTTCTTCTTGTTCACAACAAAAACTAACTTGAATTAAGACTTGGTGATTGTTTTTACACCTGATGCCCTTTGTGATTAGGCCTGTCATGATCACAAATTTTGCTGGGCGATTAATTGTCTCAGAAATTATTGCGATAAACAATAATATTGTTTGAAATTTGAGAATAATTAGTAATTATTCTCAAATTTAAGAAGAAATGTTGGTTAATTTATTTTATGTGTAGTACCTTTTTTTGACCCCCGGATGGCAGTAAAAGACTGATTGAACCGAAGGACGGATAGTGAGGGAGCGAGCAGCGCATCTCTTTTTTAAGAAAAATGGGAGGGAGGCCTCGTGATGTGCTGGCTCTCTTTCCTTTTTTCGGTTCTCAAAATGGCGGACGCTCGGTGTGGTTTGAGCTCTTTAGCATAGCATTTTTCACACAAAAAAGCATTTTTCGCATCATGAAGGACCCCACTCAACCAGCACACACACTTTTTGCCCCACTCCCCTTAGGAAGGAGGTTAAGGAGCATTACGTGTAGAACCACTAGACTGAGGAACAGCTTCTACCCTGAGGCTGTTAGACTCATGAATCTAATCAGGATAATCACTGTGAAAAATCACATCATGTTGCTGCTGATCGGTTTCATGTTGCTGCTGATCTGTTTCATGTTGCTGTGTTCATTTGTGCTCATCTGCTCACACAGACTCATGTTCGTGCTGATGTTAGGTGTATTGTTTTTATTGTTTATATGCTTTTAGTGCTCAGCATATTTTTAGATAATGTTTTTCTTAGTTCATATCTTAGATGTTATTACTGTTTTTCTTTTACATTTTATTGTTAGATGTAACTGGGACCCTGTTTACACAATTTCGATCCACCACGTGTACCACATGAGGTGGAACGACAAAGAAACTCTGACTCTCTGACAAAGCTTTTAATAAAAAAAAACAGTAAACAAGTTCTCAGCTTCTTTTTTCCAGAAAAAATAACTTTTTACACGAAGACACAGGCTTCAACCGTGAATTTTGGAGCTTCAAGAAGACGGAGGCTTTTTCCTGAGGTCGGCCTGTTAGCTTAGCTCGTAGCTTAGCTTCTCAGCTTAAGCTGTTTTTAACGATCCAAAAATGCGATTTTGGACAGTTAAATAGATTTTAAAGAGAAAGGGAGGGGTCAGTGAAGAGCACAGGAGTTGAGCTTTTTGTCATCCAGTGTCTTAGGTAGAAAGAGAGAGACACGAAGAAATGATAAAGCCGATAAATTAAAACGAGGTTGATAATTTTCATTTATCATGCGATTGATTGATTTATTGTTTATCGCGTCAGGCCCACCTTCTCTAACCTCTGCGCGGTGATATTAAGACGCCAGTTTGCAGGAATTACGACACTAATGCTTTGGATAAAATGTGTTTTTCTGCATATCGCTCCTCTACAGCTAGGTTCCCCGACCACTTGGACAAGGAAGGTGCAAGTCCACTGATCATTTAGAACCTGACCCCGCCCCCAAACACACAAAAAACATTTTTTTTTTTTTTTTTAAACAAATCTACGTACCGTAAATATTTTTAATTTACATTGGGTTGCAGGGTATTTTATTTTGAAAAATGACCACTTCTGTTCACACCTTTCAGTTAACTCTCGGGCAGTGAAAAATAAACCAACTTGTTCTTAAATGTTGTTTTAAGAACTAGCTCACTAGCTCTAGCATCAGCTTGTGTCCAACACTTGAGCTTCTTTGGAGGAAACCCCCTAAGACACCTACCTGTGAAGACATGTTGATAGTGAGGGCAGCCCACTTGTTATCCAGCTCTTGCAGGACACTCTGTGCCAGAGAGGTTTTGCCAGTTCCCACTGGTCCAGTGAGCAACACCGGGTACTGACTCATCACCAGAGCTTTAACCAACAAGTTATAGCGAACTGTGTCCACTGTAGGAACCATAATCTTATAGAATGGAGCTCTGCAGGAAAGAGATACAGTAGAAATAACTGTCACCACATTTTAAATTACAAAGGAGAAGTGAAACAGTTAAAGTTGTGTACCATGGACAAAACGCTGACACGCTGCTAACAGCTTAAACATGCACTCGTCACAATTCTCTCGGCTGGTTCAGATTGCCAGCTTTTATAAATATTTGTCCTGCCCACTCCCACTTCAGGTAACTGATTTCCTTTTACAAAATATAAATACCAGCATTCAAAGTAAATTTTAATAGTTTTTGTTTAAATAGAAAATGTGACTGCTCATAATACAATGTTTATAGAAAAACCTGAAACAGCAGCAGGGTACAGTGGTTTTCTGTCTGTCACTGGAAATCTACAGACTCTATAAATGTTAATCTCAGTGGTTAAAAAAAACAATTTAAATTTAGGTTATAGCTCCTTAAACCTCAGAAGATCCTTTGACTTTATGGCAACAAGTATTCCTTAAGGGGGAAAAATCGTCCACCTTACATAGTTGCTTAAAAATACTATTTTAGTATTATTGTATTATTATTATATTTTTATCCACAATAAATTAGTAAATATTTTAACACTATCAGGCTAAGAGAAGATTTTCAATTTAAATCGCCCTATTTTTATACTCGTTGAGGGTCTTTAATTTGAAAAAACTCCATCATTCATTTATTTGAACAGCCACAGAATATTTATTTTAAGTTAAATATCTGAAAAAAATAATATTAATAATTTTTTTTCAACCATAGCACACCCAAAATATTTTGACAAAAAAATTAAAAATAAAATCCAGTTTGGGGTTTTGGGAAGACTACCTAGCCCACGGGACACTCCGGAACCAGTAGCTGAAAATCTTGCCTTGCACGTGTTGGTCTTAATTGAGTGTTTTAGTTTTTTTTTTTTGTTTGTTTGTTTTTAGCTTTTTTCCCTCTTTGATTACATTTTTTTAATATAGAATGGTCCCTCACTACTTCGTGGTTCGACGTTCGCAGACTTGCTCTTTCAACGATTGTCAACGTTAATATTACTCACGTGATTGGGATGGTACAGAATAAAATGTTAATGAAAAAAACTTCGGATAGGCGCTGCCATTTTGTAGTTTTCTTTCAATAAGTCTATACTGTAAAGCAGGTCAAAAGAACTACACTACCCAGAAGCCCACAGTGCTTCCGGCCGCTGCTTTCTGCCGAAACGGAGGGAAAGTTTTGCAGCACAAAGTCAGACGTAACGATGTATCTATTAAGATCACAGAACTGGCAGGAAAGTCTCAAACAATCCTGAAGCTCATTTATCCACGCGCACATCAACCTGGACGGAGCGGTGGACTTCGCCGCTGCAGGGTAGGTCTGCAGAATCGGAACCGAGCTGCTGCTCTGCAGAGCTGGTGAGTAAAATTTTGCAGTACTGTGCAGTACATATATGCAGGTTGTTAAAATTACATGGGTTTAAGAGTTTAGAACATTGCAAGAGTGTGGGAAGGGTTTATAAAGCCTT